TTTTTGGGGGCACTGCATATTCTCACAGAAACACTGCTTGGAAATATAATAAATGCACAGAGAATAAGTATGTTCGAATCATCCGTGGAAACCTGGACTGATGGTTTCTCCTTATGTGTGCAGTAAAAAAGCAAAGCAGCTTATTTTCCAGTCAGACAGATCAATTTAAATGCTTACAGGACCCCTGAGCAGCTCAGACCCCTTTACACAACTAAGAGAGCCATGCGAAAGTCACCAACCCTCTTGGTTCTCTCACATGCCCATTAAAGATCATAAAAGAATTGAGAGAAAATATTTATTCCAACAATTTCTTTAAAGTGCAACCACATACCACAGAATATGTTATGAAGTCCACTGGCATTCATTGACTTTATTAACTCTTTTAAAGTAAAACAGGTCGTTTGAATGAATGAGTGTACATCCTCAGCTGACCCACATCTGTTCTGCTAGACAGATTATTAACCAATTATGGCTGAGCAGGGGTTCAGGGAATTAATTACTCAGTATGTGATGATATCTGCAAAGACTGTAGGTGCTTGAAACGATGCTCAGTCACTCAGTGATCACAGGCCAAAACTGCAGGGCATGCAACTGAGTGAGGAAAGCTGACACATGCGGTAACATAGTCACCTGATCTGGAGAGCAGGCCTCGCCAGAGAAGAGAGCGCTCAAATGCACGGCCTTCTCCTTTATGCTTTTTTTATGAAACTCCCTGGCCTTTTGAGTCTGGGCTTTCCTCTGAGTGAGGCCGGTAGAAAGAAAACAGCAAGACAAAAATGGAAGAGAATAAAGACTGAGCCTGTGGTGAACAGGAAATTCTGTGGTTAGATCCGTGTCCACTAATGTGTTTGACATTTATTATTAAGTCTGTCAATAGAATTATGATTATTGTCATGCTTTTTTAATGCCGTTAACTTGATTAATTTTCACATTTTAAATTGGTTAAAATTTGTAACATTTACAATAAGTAACATTTATATTTAATTATCAGGAAATGTATTTTTGTTAATGATCCCATCTGGAATTTATTTATAAATAAATATTCTATTACAAAGTCTTCATAACATATGAACAGTTTTTTTCATAGCTCAGTCTTTAGAACTGGACAGAACAGAATGAAACCGTTTTAATGTCAAAATAAATGGGACAGTCTATGAAATGGGTGCATTTTCCGCTTTGAAAAGTT